TTTCTTTTTCTTCTTCTCCTTCTTTTTCTTTATTATTATTATTATTATTACTACTAGTAGTAGTTTTAGTATTACTACTGCTACTACTACTACTATTATTATTGTTATCTATAATTTATACAATTAACCTCCCTGTGGTTCGACCTCGGTCTTGCCGGGTTATTTATTACTTCAACATTCCTGCACTTGGAAAAAGATATTAATCTTTTCGTTGTGTCACGCAACCATATGACTAGTGACTACTATTCATCCTTTTATTATCATAGCTTCATTTTGTCAATAGCATATTTTATAACTTGATGTTAAAAATACTTTCTTGAATGGGGATCTTTAAGAAGAAGTCTATATAGCGCCTCTTCCTGGCTTTTTGCATGACTTTAGGTATATTTGTAAGCTCAAGAAAGCATTATATAGTCTCAAACAAGTATCTCATGCTTAGTTTGAGAAATTTTCTGTTGTAATCTTATCTCTTGGATTTGTTTCTAGTAGTCATGATTCTCCTCTGTTTATTAAGTGCACTGTTGCAGGTCATATCATTTTATCCTTATATGTTGATGATTGGATTATAAGTGGTGATGACATTGATGGTATTTTAGTTTTGAAGACAGAATTGGCTAGATAGTTTGAAATGAATCATTTAAGTTTTCTTCAATATTTCTTGGGTATTGAGGTAGCTTACTCACCTTGAGGTTACCTTTTTTCTTAGTTGAAATATGTTACAAATATTCTTGAATAGGCTAGACTTACTAATAACAAGACTGTAGATACTCTCATTGAAGTTAACGCAAGGTATTCTTCTTCTGATAGTTTACCTTTGACAGATTCTACTTGATATTGTACTATTGTTAGGAACTTGATATACCTCTCCATTACTCATACAGATATCACATATATTTTTCATGTTATTAGTTAGTTTGTTGTTTCTCATACTACTGTTCACTAGGTAGCTATTTTTCGTATTTTGCGATATCTTCAAGGTACAGTTTTTCAGAGTCTTTTACTTTCATTCACCTCTTTCTTGAAGTTGCATGTATACTCTAATGCTGATCATGATAGTGATCTCACATATCGCAAGTCTGTACTAGATTATATATCTTTTTAGATAATTCTCTTATTTCTTGAAAGAACAAGAAATAATCTATTGTTTCTAAATCATCAACTGAAGTACAATATGGTGCTATGACATCTACTATTAAAGAAATTATTTAGTTACATTGGTTACTCGCAAATATGGGAGTTTCCCTTTCTCATCTTACTCCTATATATTGTGACAACTAGAGTTCTATGCAGATTATTCATAACTTGGTTTTTTTATGGACTAATTATATTGAGATCAATTGTCATCTTACTCGTCATCATCTCAAACATAACACTATCATTCTGCCTTTTGTTTCTTCTTCCTTGCAGATTGCAAATTTCTTTATCAAGTCGCAATCCATTTCTTATTTTTGTTTTCTAGTTAGCAAACTCTCGATGTTTGTTACTGCTACTCGTTAGTTTGAGAAGAGATGTTAAAAACTATATACGTGAGTTTGAGAAGAGATGTTAAAAACTATATATTTATCTTGTTTTATTTATTAAGGGTAGAATAATATTTTCAGTTTAGCAGTTTAGCCTATATATAATCACTTTATATTTAAGTTAAAGCATGCACTTTTAGAATAAAAAATTAATAAGAATTTCAAATTTCTTTTCTTTTCTTTTTGTATTTTTTAATATTAATTTGGATTAATTTAACCATATGCGGCTTGAAATACATCATGCCTGTTATGATTAATATTTGGTATGGCAAACAAACCAATTCCCAAGACCTACGATTATATCAGGGATTTTTTTTTTTATTCTTTGAGATTGGTCATAGGCAATTGTAGTGAGGGGTATTTTATTCTTGGAAAAAAAAAAAAAAAAGGTTAGCGAGGGGTATTGATGTCTTAAAATTAAATTCAAAAGGAAAAATACTCAATTAATTATTTTTTAAGGAAATGGTGCGTGATTGATACTTTTGTGTATCCTAATAATTTGTGCACATATATCATTGTTAAAATTTTGTTCAATTAATTCAAATAAAATTAAATTCATAATGCTAGTTTCCATGAACAAATAATAATAATAAAAAAAAAACACAATAAACCAAATAGTTACCAAATTAAGCAATAATCCTAATCATATTTCAATCTTATGAGATAATTTTCAATAACTGATGATATCTACATAAATTACTAATCTTAATAACGATATGGTGCCAAAAACAATTATCATAGATACAACGTAAATTTAATACAATTATATATGTAAAAAATATCTTAAAATAAAAATAATAATAAAAGATAAAGATAAGGACTTGGGCCTGAACCTAGGTCATTCAGGGATGGGCTCGGAATCACACATGACGTCCTCTGATAAAAGACGTCCTTGAACTCTCATAGCTAACAAGTGTCAGCGCAGAGCTCTAACTTCATAATGGAAAAGCCCGAAATCCTTCTTGCCCAAGCTGATCCCAATGTTGTGTTGAATATATGGGACAGTCTGCCTTGTAATAACCGCCATGGTTTTGTTTAGGAGTAAGTCCTGCCTCTGCCCAAAAAATCCTACGGTTGGGTCAGCCCTTTGCTTGTGCTGTGTGTGCTTGTGGACGCCTTAAGTCTTACATTGACTGAATAAGCGTGCTGTGTTGAATATTCCAGATAGCACGCCTTGGCAAGATTACTAGGGTTTTCTCAAGAGATGTCTTGTCTCTTCTTCTTCTTCTCGTGTGAATACTGCATTCCAAACTTCATTTCTAGTTCAAGGTTCAGAATACTTGTTAGGCATTTTCAATTATTTTCGGGGCAAAGAAATCTGCTCCTAGATTGACCTAGACAGCAGTTACGCAGATTTAACTGATCCGCAAGCCTATTGAAACATCTAAACTTCCAAGCAAACTATCCATCGCAAGGAAATGCTCTCTCAAATTTACTACAACTAAAGCGGAGTGCTTGATCGAGTGTCCAATCGTGTATTTCACATTAGTACAGGTAAAGATAGGAGTTAGCAACAGTGCTTAAAAAGATCAAGCATGCAAGAACCGAACATACTTTCGATCGTTTTTTTATGTATCATGACAAAGTAGTGCAAGATCAACAACTGTTCACAAATAAAAAGGGAGTAAGCAAACCAAAACCAAGTTCCAAACGGAAGCTGCTTGAACTCATTGGTTTACAGCCATTACCATCTGTTTGGAAGTCCAATCAAAGGCTGCTGCTGGATTTATGGGAAAAGAAACTGGAGCGGTATTAGCTTGCAGATGTACTCTTTCCTAAATGAACACAAGCATTTTGGGTTTAACATGTCCTCTAACAGTGATTTGCTTTTTCTGGAGTTGTTTTTTATTCTCCTGTCATAGATGAGTAGCAAACACCATTCTCAAGTCATTCTTCAACGACGTTTACAAGTTCATATTCAATCAGCGATAGGTTGTTATCTTCCTTCACAGTGAAATCAGCAGGTTCAGTGCCTTCAACACGCCCCCACTTGTCCACAGCAAGCCTCATTGATCCTTTAAACATGTCGATTTTCGCATTGCGTAGGATCACAGTAGTACCCTCTTGCATCAAGTCCACTAAACAAAAATAAGAAGAGTTAAATAAAACCAGCAAGACTGGGAAAAGCCAAAAACTAGAAAGTCACATAATCTGAATTTTCATCAGTTCCTTGTTTCGACAGATGAAGAAACCAAGATAACACATGCCGCCTCAACCAAATTGTCAAAGGACAAAACTCAAGAAAATTTCGCTCTCATTTATTTGGAGTGGCAAGTGAAAATTTATCACTTTTGATTGAACATCTAACCCAAACATCTTTCCCAAAGTAATCCACGCTCTCACTTATCAGATCATGTGTACAAGGTTAAGAGTTTCACAGAAAGAAAAGTCATAAAAAAAATGACTGAAAGCTTTCCCAGAACAATATTGAATGTCACTCAAAAAAAAAAGAAGAAGCCCATTTGAACAAAATTCATGCTATGACTACTTAAGCACACAAAAGTCAACTAGGGTATAGGGAAGAGGGTTTAACGTCCTAGAATCCATAAACTGATAACAACCACTAGGAACCAATAACCACACACTACTAGAATAACTATTTGCTGATTCAAAAAAAATTCAAAAAATTAAAAAAAAAAAAACCTTGATCATTTCTAGCAGTGAAGATAATCAATCCAGTCTCATCCCCGACCAAACATTCAGCAATTTTCATTTGGCGTCCTTGAGGACCATCAGCTCGACCCTTCTGTAATACCATCTTCGCACTAACAACCTTGACAGTGAGAGTATGACCACCAGTGCCTGGGCGGAGCTGCTCAGCCTTGGTGAATACAGGCTTCCTCAATCCTGGTTTTGATTCTGCCATTTTCACCTGCAGAAACAAATACCACATCAAAAATTTTAACCAACAGAATTACAGAAAGGTACAATTCCATTATAAATAAATCATCATCATCATCTTCTTCAATCGAAACACAAATTCCATCGTCAAGAACAGATCGATACGTAGGCATTTGAGACAATTTCATAATAACAAAATTAGGAAACATGCATTATTTTAGGGAAGCTAGGGTTAGGGATTTCACCTGCGAATTGGAGTGCAAGAGATGAGATTAGATCTAATCTGAGTGAGTGAGTGAAAAGCGTAGCCGTCAGAGCCGGCTGAACAAAGAGCGTGAAGGTGATTTCATACAATTCACTATTTACTATAACAGTAAAAGTGATGTTTATGTGCTTTCAATAAAACAAAATTACTGTATTTAAACCGGGATTAGTCTTCTTTTTTTTCAATCAGTCATTATAGGTTTATTCGAGGTATTTTTATTTATATAATATTTTAATAAACAGTAAAATAATCAAGTTATCATTAAAATAACAATTAAGTTTTAAGTTTTTTTTTTAATATAGTTAAATTACAAATATATTCTTAAAGTCAAGAAATTTAACTAATGGAATCAGTGGTATTAGGTTCTTTCACCTCAGTTTTATTTGTTAACTGTATTTGGTAAACAGCAACAATATCATATAACATTTAATTAATATTTTTTAAATAAAAAATATTATTAGCACAAGTTACTATATATTTTGAATGACATATATGATAGCTTCTAATGTAAAAATATATTTATATCAGCTTATTTTATTTTTTGTTATCTTTTTCTTTTTTTTATTAGATAATACATGTAAGTTTATAACAACTAATTTATTGCTGTTAGTTTTTCTCTCTCTCTCTCTCTCGTACTAAAAAATGTATTCTGGTCATCATTATTTTTGGTGTTTCAAATTCAATCCTTTAAGTTTTGATTATTTATTTTTATTCTTTTTTATTAAAAAATTTTTATTTTCAATTTAATCCTTCAATTCTAATTTGTACATATAATAATTTTTTATTTGGTTCTTCTATTTTGATATTTTTCTTGTTTTTGTCAAAGTTTTTATGGTTTTCAATTTTATCTTCCAAATCAAGTTTGTGATTTTTTTTAATAATAATAATTTTAATTTGATCTTTCTGCTTTTATTTTTTATTTTGTTTCCTTAGCTTTTTTGTAACGATGATAATGATGATGATAGTAATAATAGTAATAATGATAATAGTAATGTTAATAGTAATGTTAAAAATAATTATGATGAAAATTGTGGTGGTGATGGTAATAATAATACAAATAATAATGGTGATAGTAGTAGGAGGAGGAGAAGCGCTGTTATTGTTACTAAACCATGAAGTATGAAGTTTGAGCATAATATGCAGGATCCTGGCTCCCTCTCCCTTGATACCCTCTCATGTATCAACAAACCACCATCAATTTTTCATACAATAACTTATCTTTCAAGCGCATTTTATTCTATTAAATTAACCATCTCAATTAATTTTTTTGATTTAAAGAAATTACATATTTTCTTTAAATTTTAGTTAATCATCTTACGGCCGCTGGTTAATAATTAATCTAGCATGATTTCTACTTGCAACAATCCATAATTAAATTCCACTAAGCAAAATCCACAATTTTCACCATATTTGGCTAAAACATCCAAAACATAAAGATGGGAATTTTTTTTGAAAATTCTTTCAACTAACATATATATATCACCATTTAAACTTCTCAACAACAATACCACATTGAAAAATCAATATCAATTTTATCAACTAATTGTTTCTCTAAAAATTCCCATTTTGGCCGAATAGATTAATATAGATGGGGTGTATTTTCTTTTATTTTTTTCACAATTAACCCAAATTAATTGGTTACACTTACACATTACAACCAAGATTCCACAACAATAATTCCTTCCTTTATATATTTTTTTTACATTGTTGAAATCCTATAAAAATAAAAAGATAAATTACCCTTTTTTAATTTGCTCAACTAACTCATTACTCAATCCATTCACATGGCATTAAACATCATTAAGCCATCCAATTTCAAATTCAAGCCTTAATTCTAAAAAACCTCAACTTACTTCATACTAAATAAAACCTTAATATAGCATAAATAAAATTCTCACATAATTCATCAAATTGAGACTAGAATCATTATTTATTCATGTATCATAACAAAATTCAATCACGATTTCAATAATCTAAACAATTTATTATGAAAAAATTACATTTTTATCCTTACTAAAAATCTCAAAACATTACAATACTTTTAAACACAACAAATTGAATTGTTACCAACTACTTTTTTATACACTCGAATAGTAAACTATCATCAATTCATCTATCAACACTTTCATCAAGCTTGACTCAACATTGACAACATACTAACAATTTTTAAAATGAATAACAAATAAAAAAATTGTATAATCAATGATTATGAAAAGGGCTTACCACCTTGTAACCAAATAAAAATGATAAATTTAAATGCTTGTAACTAATTGATAACATATCTTACCATCATTAGAGCTTGTAACCAACTAGTAATATATCTTAAAAGGTTTACCATCATAAGAAACTTGTCAAAATCCAACAAGACCACAGCCTCGATACCAATAAACCCAAGAAACTTGTCAAAATCCAACAAGACCACTTATCCATTGAGATGTAGTTGGCCTAAACCCAATATATAACACTTAAAGATGTTATTCACAAACCCATTAAGAGGGAATGAGTACTCTTATTCATACATGCATAGAGGGAATGTAACCTCGTAATGTCCTTATGTAGAGTTTAAGGTTTCTTGACTAATTCTTTCATCCCTTATAGAAAATTGAGCCATATACTCCTAAGTTGTAAACCATTAGCAAAATCTACATCCTCAATGCCTAGGATACTGAGAGAATAATCTTTTAGGTTTTGGGGTGCCCTTTCTATTCCTTTGGTCTCCCTTAAAGCATTGGGAAATTGCTTTTTTAATGATAGGAACTATCTTTCCCTTTACTAGAGATGAACCTTGAAGTTCCACCTCATTCTCTACCACTTCCTCCAGTTCCTAGTTGAAACCTAAACTTGTTACCAGAGGAAGTAATGCCTTTACTCCTAAGGTTAGGTTTGACTCTATAAAGGTCCATTTAATTTCATTTAAAAGAAAAGAAAATCTTTAAATGGAAGTACCAAGAATAACAGTTGTTTTCTAAAAAAAGGATAGAACTTGCTCTAGAAATCTTCAAATATGTTTTTACAAAGGTCATAAAAAGAGAAAGTAAAGGAAAAAAAAGAAGAAAATATTATCAATTAGTGTTATAAAAAAAACCCTTTTTACTCTTATTGTTAAATGAATGACCTATCATGTCATCTTAGATCTCTAGAAATCCATTTAATTATTGCATTAATTGCAAGCCGTCATTTTATTTTCTAAGAGACCTCTTCCCTTCGTCATTTTATTTTCATTTTATTTTCTAAGAGACCTCTTCCCTTTTCCAATAAGAACAAGTTATATGGCCATAAGAATTCAAATAGTTCTACATGGGACAAACAAATGTCATGAGGAAGGCAAATTTTTTTCATTAAAAATGATATTTCAAAATATTTGGGCATTCAATATGCAAAGACTTCGAGGGGTTATTATTGGATCAACATATACACAACTCATTAGCTTAAAAGTCTACGAATAAAAGAGCCAAATATAGGGTGATGAACTAGTATGCATAAGTTTGATATAATAACAAGCCCAGACGACATGAGTCTAATTTTATTTCCAGACCCAACACCCTTAGGGTCAATTACGTGCTGAGTCCAAATGTTTGTAGACGACAATACCCTCAGGCTCAGCTACGCGCAGAGTTTAAACCCTTGTGGATTTGGCAAGATGCTAGATCTAATCCCTTTAGGCTTGACTATATAGTAAGCCAAAACACATGTGGGTTTGAGAAGATGCCAGAGCTTAAGATAATCATTCCTCCATACTCTTAGGTGTATAAAAGTCCTTTAAAAGCTAACTATATCTTAATCAAAATTAATTATATGATAAGGCTATTCCCATTAACATTTAATGTTGTATACGAAATAAGTATAAAAGCTTTCTATAGCTCTATTGTTTGTTTATCATTATTAATGATATATAAAGGCAATTCTCATCAACATTAATGTTGTGTAAAAAGACATCTTTATCATCATTAATGTTGATATAAGGGAGTTCTTTCTTACCAAGTTATTCAAGAGGAAAAGACTTTCGACCCCTTAAGCAAGATAATAAGGTTCAAACTACAAGAACTATAAATATCTTTTGAGTCATCTAGATAAAATGATTCACAATCTTTATTCTCTTATCATATATTCTTAAAGCATTTATTACACAAAAACTAAGAGCTAGTGTTTTTGTTCTTAGAGTTTAATGCTCTTCTCATCATTTATTACAATTTCTTACTATAAGGTCATTGACTTAATCATCAGAAGATCCCTAAATCCTACAAAGAATTGTTTTGTAGGAACTAAAACTTCTATCACTAATCCTCTACTCTTTATATCCCTATGAATGAAATATTGATGTGAATTAGTGATCATCCACTTTTAAATTATTTAAACACTATTTCTAAGCATATTGAATCCCGGAAGATCACAACATCGAATCATCTAAAAACTTTTTTTAAAAAAACTCTCCACTGTAACATAATAATCTCATATGAAAGCATAGAACAAACAAAATAAAGCCCTCAAAACTTGGTAAAAATACTAGATGAATTAGAAGTCATGCATAAAACATCTTTTGTGGTACATTAGATGCTAGATCTAGCAAGGATCTTTTCAAGAAAAACAACAGTAAGAAATGGTGTTGTACAGTTAAAAAAAAAAAGACAAATGAAAAGATAAAGAGATGTTTCAGGTTAACTTTATTTTTTGGAGAAGAATTTTATATATTTTTTACAATCTTAATGCTTTTTTATATCACTCTGCTCTGTTTTTTTTTTACATGTTTAAAAGGTTATTGTACTATTTTTTTATTTTAAAATCATCTTTATGTCATGGTTTTGTTATCATCACACCCTTCCATTTATTAGTACTATTAAAAATTGACATGTGTCATGTTATTTCTGGATAAAATTTTCATTAACATATATTTTAGTCTCTAAAAAATTTTAAAAATCTTATTTTTGGTTTCCATGTTTTACTTTACTTACAAAAAAATCCTTTAGCTTAAAGTTTTTTTGGTCATCATATTTTATAATAAATACAATTTAGTCATGTTGATTTTTTTTTTATTAAGCTCTTGAATGTTAAATAGTAAACTGTAAAAAAATTTAAAATAAATATATGATATTATAGGAAACAAGAATTCAACAAAATCACA